TAGTAAGTCTCAGTAACAGCCCGGAGTTGGGAAGTTGGTGGTGTTTCACCCCCGTGCCTCGGAGAGCACGTAAAGCCGTCGGTCCTGCGCCCTAACTCTCACTGGTCGTGTCGAGTAGTCGTCCCACCGGAGTATGAGAGTGACAGGAATAGAGAGTGCACGTTGTGTCTGCGCTCTCTCTCACAGGCGCTGCACTATAATATCTCCTGCGCAGTTGGCTAGTCTCAATGAGATTGGCCGCCGTGGCCGGAATCGGTCAGGAGAACATCATATCTAAGTGTTTGCATCTGTGTATGGAACAGTTATTATCAATCATGCATAAGTTTGCATGTATTTTTGTGTTTTGGATAAAGTTTAGTACGCAGATACACTATGAACTCTTTTTTTAACATTGGGAAATACATTTACGCATATCACCTGCAATGCATATAGGTTATGTGGGACTCACTGGCATCGCCATTACTACCAACTAAAACCCAATAAAACCTTCCCCGTCTTAATGGGGTTCGCAGGATCGCTTACGTACTCAACTACAACGCCTCGATGGCAGGTTTGCCGAAGCAGACCATAACAACCATGGGGTTGCGCCTACGGTACACCGAGGTGGAAGATACACTATGGCCTGGAGTAACACGTAAGTCAGTCCTGTTAATTAACTGATTCGGTGGTGTAGTGGCTAGCATGTATGGCACGTCCGGAGGTCCTGGATTCGAGTCCCGGGTCATGAAAATCTTAGTTATTGAGTCTTTCTATTAATAGTCCCAGTAATAGCTCGGATTTGGGAAGTTAGAGTACACTTGTGTCTTCACGTACACGCGCTGCACTATAATATCTCCTGCGCAGTTAACTAGTCGCAGTAAGATTGGCCGCCGTGGCCGACGCACAATCTAGGGACGCATCCCGCTTCTCTATTATACTATTCTGATAATTCAACAAACAGACATCCACGTTAATAATAGTATTATATATATATACATACATACACACATACATATATACATGCATACAAAAGCCCTATCGTATTTTTAGAAGCTGCATAAGATAAAATCTAAGAATAGAGATGAAACACTCATATCAAAAGATAAATGTGGGTAAATATTTCATATTTTTAACTATGTAGGCTATGTGTTATCTTGTAAATTGTAAACGTTACGTGAGAACTACCGTATAGTCTAAATAATTGCAAATTATGATAAAACAATGGCATTGACTACAATGTCAGAGGTAGTGGGTTCCCAAAACGGAGCGAAATGATCGTTATTATTTGGATGTTACTTCGGAAGTAGCACTAAATAGATGGGTGACTATTTAGTGTTTCGCTTTATTATTCTGAATTTACTATACTGATAATAATTAATATTTTTTCTATGTTATTATTATGAATTTCAAAGAGATTGTTTATTTTATAGTTCGTTTGAACGCGCTAATCTCTCGAACTATTTATTGAGGAAGGCTATCTAACATACGCTATGACCTTTAGAAGCAAAACGACTATAATATATTTACAATTTACGCGAGCAGAGCTTCAGGCAAACGTTATCAAAATCGAAATGAAAGAGGGTTTGTTTGTTTCGTTGTTTGTTTGTTTGTGCTTCTCTCACACCGAAACAAAATGATGAATTGGCGTGATTTTTTGTGTCGAGATAGTTGAAGCTCTGGATGTTACTCACATAGGCTACTTTTTATCGCACCAGATTATCTAATTCCCAGGTTAAAACACGTTATAATACATCGAGGATGAGTCTCTAGTTATAGTATAAAGAGAAAATAAACATCAATAAATAAACTTTCATACAATGGTATGTCGAACTAAATATTTATATACTCTATATAAACTTTTTAACAATAAATTAATTTAATTTCTTCTGACTAATTATACATAAAAACTGTTGACATAAAATTTCTAGAATTCGATTAAGCTAATGATAATAGCGTGACGGATGCGATGAAAGTCGGTGGAATGTTGTCATTTCACTCAGAACCATGTTAATATATGATTCAATTCTCACAGAGAGTAATTAAGGCTACATCATACTACTCGTAATCCTACTAACATTATCTATACGTATAATAAAATTGTAACTAAACCGAATCTGTACATTCGATATTTTTTGGAAAATCTTATTGAAATAGACATTATTATCGATACAGAGGCCGAATCTATAGTTTTTAGAATTTTTGTCTGTCTGTCTGTCTCTTACCGCATCACGTAAAACCACTGGAGGGATTTTGATGAAATTTGGTGTGATGATAGCTGGTTATCCGGGTCAACATATAGGATACTTTTTACTGCGGGAAAATATCTGATCTCTGAGAAAAATACAAAAACTGCTATGTAAGAGTATACTAATATGTAAAACCTAATAATTTGCTTTTTGGTTATCTGAACGCGGGCGGAGCCGCGGGCAGTGCTAGTTAATATTATAAATGCGAAAGTTTATGAGGATGTATGGATGTATAGATGTATGGATGTTTGTTACTCTTTCATGCAAAAACTACTGAATGGATTTTTGTGAAACTTTACAATAATATAGCTCATATATCAGAATAACACGTAATCTTTTATCCCGGAAAAATGGACGATTCCCGAGGAATAGCTTTGTTACTTGTTTTTCTAAAAGTGAACCCGAGTGAAGCGAGAGTGAGAAGCTAGTTTAAAATAATTTAATATTGTAAAACGGCGTAAAACATTAAACTATGAATAAACCCAAAATTTTCATTTGTTACTAGATAATTAATATGAGTAGATGCTAGGTTTTCCTTAATAATAAACATCTTTTAAATTATTTACGATGCAAAAAATATAAGAATTTCATTTAATAATTAAAAAAATATGTCTGAAAAATCAGTGTAGTACTAACTATGGTGTAATTTAGTTATAGTGTGTTTGTTTATCACATTGGTCATTTTGCTCTGTAGCTGCTTAAAAGACGGATATACAGACAAAAAAAATCTTTTTATTAACAAATTGGCTCGATATTAAAAACAATTCATTAACATCCAAAACTCAACTCGCACAACACCTTGAACTACTTACGCATCGCGGCCTCTACTTAAACCCTCTACTCGTGAAGGTTTCACAAAATTTACAGCTTTCTTACAACTTCGATTTGAATACATTTACCAATTTCAAATACTGAGGACTACTTATATTAGATGTATGTTTGTTTGTGTACACGTAACGCTGTATTTAGGCCAACAGATAACCAATTTTCATAATTTTAATAAACGTATGTAGGTACCTCAAGGATGTGTTATGTTTAAAAAAAACCACCCCTGATGAAAAATTTATTTTAAAGCGATTTTTAAGATAGCTTTTTAAGTTAAAACATCATTACTAAAACAACTATTCGCCCAGTGCTAGAGATTTTACTGTGTTAAGTATTTGAGAAAAAGATACACAAATGAATAAAATGAGTAATGTATTAGTAGCAAATTATTTGACTTTATGTTATGAATAATTAATACAGAAACACCCCCGCTCCCCTGCATGCCATGTGTCAGTCTATCATGCCGTGTGGGATTTTCGAAACTCTATTTGACTCTATTGAGGGATGATTTTGGAAAAACTGTGATATATGTGTCTCATAAGTTTAATTGAAAAGTATACGTACCAATTTTCAAGTCAATCGACGAAACGAAAGTTTCACAGAAAATTCAACCTACCATTTCACCCTCTTAGGGGTGGAATTCTAAAAATCCCTTTCTTAGTGGATGTCTCTAGGATCAGCGGTTTAAGCTGTGCTTTGGTATATCAGTCAGTCAGCCAGGACTTTGAACTTCATATACATACATAGATTATTCTATAATAATCTATAAATATATATAGATCTAAAATATATTTTTTCCTTCATATACATAATATGTATTTATTATAGTGATAGATATATTAAATTCAATTCTTATATGTAATGATAATTCTATAATTTTTTATTTATGAATAAACATAATACTACTTACAAAAAAAATATTTTATAGCTCATATAATATACCTACCACATTTTTTTAATACTTAGGTTAACTTTAAAATATTTATGCTCCGCAACATGTACGTTAAACAAAAAATCAGTCATTCATACGAGTTGGTATTGGTCAAAATTTCTAAATTATAGCCAAAGTAGATTTAATAATATTAAATGTGCATTAGCAAGGTAGGTATTAGAGTTCGATTTCCGTGAAAGACCATAATTTGTACATTGTTTCTGAACAAGCATTATAAAATAGCAATATGAGATTTTCAACGAAAAACATAGTTAATAAATCCTTAAATTAAAGATATAGTTTCAATATAAAACTCTACCTAGAGTTTTACATAAAGCCTTACTACCCTATTTCCGTTTTATGTTTAGTCAAGCTATCTCCTTACCAGCACTGTTAATTAAACAGTATAATTAAAGATACCATTTGCTTTGAATCACTAACTAAACAAGATTAACTAATATCGTAAAACCGACTGTATACCAGAATTATTGGTTTTAGCCAAGAATTTTTTCAAGGAAAAGAAATGAGTTATGTGTAAATAAACATACAGATATAGTTATTTTTAGAAATTGAATACACTTATCAATGCTGTGGTAGAGAACGTGATTTTATTGCAACGCTCTACGATAAACTGCTAGCAAGTATTACAGGTGTCGCGCAGGGACCTCGCGTAGGTCACTCGTGTCGAGCTCCTACAAAGGCATTACGTTTACAACTTATTGAAAACTTTGTAATATTTATATGTGCAAATGACTTTGTATATTTATTGCTATAACATAAATTACCATTAGTTTTTCTGCTTCATCAAAGTCAGTCAGAAACAATAAATTAAGTGATAATTTTTATGACAAAAATTTATGACTTAAAACTGCAATATTCATGTATTTAACATGTCAATATATGTATATGTTACTTTATAGAATAAACAGACGGATGAAGTAGTTGGGTTTTACAGAAATAAACACTATCGTACCGATAGCCTCATAGGTCATACACAGTTAATTTTGAACGTTTAGCTATCGTAATGTAAACAGTGATAACTCACCTCTCGCCCATCCAGTGAGCACGTTCCCGAGATATGCCACCTTGTACACCGGGTCTGGTTCGCTGATGCGTACGCTGTTAGTGCGTCGCAGTAGCCTGCCTAGACCACGCGACAATCTGCCGATTGCACGAGCCGTAAAATCCTTTCCAGATGCTCCATCTGCCAAACTTACTTCAGCTGGAAGGATAGACTTTCCTTCATTCTCTCTATGAGCTATCAATCTAGGTATTGTTAAAGGTAGCTTTTTACGTTGAGGAGTCAAGGTCTTCGCCTGATTCACGCTATATACGTTGCAGTTCTTCTTAAAGCTTTGACTTTCTTTGGCTTGGTCTCCAGTCTTTGCGTTTTCGGTATGCGATTTCCCATTCAGATTTTCACTAAGAGAATTATTGTTGAGGGTGTCAGTTTGTCCGTCACTATACCGACGTTCAGAAGTCAAGCGTCGTTGGATAAGCGATGGATTCCTAAGGAGAATGCTAGTTTCACTTGAGCTCCTGTTTTTTAGTATATGAATTTTCTTGACTCGTGACACGGTGCAGTCGACCGCGTCAGTGCTGACCGTCCGTTCAGTCTTCCCTTCTTCATCGAGGAAGCGAACTCTCAGTCCATTAGATTTGCAATCGCTAAATGTTTTTTCTGCGTCTTGCAACCGCTCTGGCTGGCTTTTTGCGCCTGCATCTAAGCAATGGCGCTCGTTTTCACTTAGCGTACCACGAGCCATTTTTATTACGAAAAAATAGCTTTTATTCGAAATTTTACATTATGTATTTAAATAGCTGCCATATCTCTACATTAATTTCTGTTTATTTATCTAGTTCACGTTGCAGAGCTATAAACCAGTTAGCCAACACACACAGTAGTATAACATTAACAACGACACCGGTTAGGAATGCACTTACTTAACACTTATCGGTTTATTCACAAAACGTTAACAGAAAACCGTATAAATTGGAATTTTATAAGCACTCGATTTTGAAAGTATTGCAAGTGAATTATAAAATAATATTTATTAAGGGACGACGCGTGCACTTCGCGCGACTCGCGGAGAAGGTATGGCGGTGAGGCGTTGAGTGCGCGGGCGCAACCGGTCAGTCGAACCCGACTTTAATTTTAATGATCCAACTCGTAATCCACTGACAGTGATGACCTGTAAACAAAAAATGTTTTAGTAAAAAAAAACCTGCTCGTTATGTTAGTAAAAACTAAAAACCATAAAAATCTTCATAAAGCAACTAAAATAATTTTTAACATTATCCTGTAAAAAAAAATATGAAAACGTTGATGCTTCTTGAACATATTTAAAATACGTACATATATAAAGTGTAGACATAATACAAGTGCACATTTAAGTAAATTGTACTACTAATAAATATACTATACAGCGCTCGCGCAATCACTGCTATCGATTTGACACAATCAAGTTTGATTCAACTAACGAGAGCAAAAATGCTTTTATCTGTTAATTGTAATTGTTACGTTATAAAGAAAAGTAGTCTGCGATTGATTTACAGTCGCTAATGAATTTTGATTGTTGTATTAATTATTGGGGTTCTTTAGTATCTGGAGGTTCCGTATTAGATTTATTTTAGCTAAAGATAGAAGTGGTTTAGTTAAATTTAATGTTTTACCAAAAGTTTTTTATCTGAAACGGCTAATAAGAACGGACAGCTGCCATAAGGAAAAATAATTCGATTTAATAATTCTATTAAAGTTTTTCTTCGATAACTTAAAAATTAAATATTATTATTATCTATACATATAATAAAATGCTGAGTCGAATCTATAAGAATAGTCATTATTATCGATACAGACGCCGAATTTATAGTTTTTAGAATTATTGTCTGTATGTGTGTCTGGGAATGCATCACGAGAAAAGCACTGGACAGATTTTGATGAAATTTGGTAAGTATGCTTAGGTGATTATCCGGGTTAACATATAGGATACTTTTACTGCGGGAAAATACCTTATCTCTGACAAATCTACGTTAAAACGTAATTAGGGACGAATCCGAGCGGAGCGACGGTGATTCGCTAGTTTCTTTAATAATTCTATTGAATATTTTGCGTAAATAACATACAAGTTATTTTTTTTATTACAAATGTACCGAAGGCAGTGGTAGCCCAGTGGTAGCGCGCTCGTTTGGGAAACCGAGTGAAGCGGGTTCAGATCCCGGGTCTCGCACTTCTGATATTTTCATGTGCGAATCATTTCTAACATGATTACCACTTGTCTTACTTATTATAATATTATAAAAAGGTTAAGTTTTTGAGTTTGTGAATTGTGAGTTTGTGATGTTCTAGGGTGTAATCTCTAGATCTACTGAACCGATTTTGGATGAAATTTGGTAAGAAGATAGTTTGAGACCCTGGAAAGGAGATAGGATACTTTTTATCTCAGAAATCATCCACTAAAGGGGTGAAAATGGGGATGAAAGTTTGTAGGGGGAATCAGTAGTCCCTAGTAGTTAATGTAAAAAATATATAAAAAATATATAATAAATGTAAAAAATTACTGACTGCGTACTATGTTCCTTTTTCAACTTATTGCCATTTTTTTAGTTTTTTTACGCAGCCGAATATTTTATTGTTGTAAATATATTTTTTATCTATGTGCTTAGCAACCAAGCAAAGCCGAGTGCCGCATCTTGTTTCGTTCCAACTATTATCACGGTTAATGAATAAGCTATAAAAACTAATACCTGCTATTTACACATGCGATAAAAATCATATTTTATTACGTCTAAATTCCATAACTGTATTTATGTTTTAGTATATATTTAAAATAGTTTTTTTTTTAAATATAATATTATATGTAGTAAGGCAATGGTAACCCAGTGGTAAAGCGCTCGTTTGGGAATCCGAGTGATGCGGGTTCAAATCCCTATAGACGAAGAATAAAAACCCTATAATTATTTCTAAAAATCTTTACTGGATGAATAGATAAAAATAATGACAAAGTATAATGAAATAAAAAAATTATTGTATTGTAAAAAAACAGCTGTTTTGTTGAAATACTATTTATTAACCAATATATTGACTTAATTTAGGCACTAATTATTTCTGTAATGTTAATGAAGAAATAGGGACCATGTGAGAATCGAACCCACGATACTAGTCTATAAATATGTATTACTGGACATGTAAAGAACGAATGACCTATTTTACTAGTTTATTTAAAATTTTATCGCCTTACTATGAAATATTGCTTTAAAAATTTAATTATCTCTTATGAAAAATGCCTTGCTGGCATACAGCTATTAAAACAATTTCACTTAAAAACAGAGTCCTGAACGTTTAAAATATTTTGTTTGTCGAACGAAAGTTAAAATTATAATATAATTTACTTTTAAATATAACAATTAGATAAACAGACAAAACTACATCTTTATACAATATACATACATGATGAAAGTCTCTGTGATTAAACCAGTTACCCCCAGTTTATAATAATGATAACTAGTGAATTATTCTCACTTCACCCGAGTGCGCCTCTCTCTTTTTTATTCATTAAATTATATATACATAGGCAGCAACTTTTACTACCAACAATTTCTTTATGAAGGAGTAAGAAACATACAGACATACAAACTTTCGCCTTAATTATAATAGCGTAATTCATTACGTTTTGTTATGTTATGCGAGTGCAACCGCATGCATGAAAGTCGAATCTGTACATTAAATATTTTTTGGAAAATCTAATTGAAATAGACATTATTATCGATACAGAGTCCGAATCTATAGTTTTTAGAATTTTTGTCTGTCTGTCTATCTGTCTGTTACCGCATCACGGAAAAACCACTGGAGGGATTTTGATGAAATTTGGTATGATGATAGCTGGTTATCCGGATCAACATATAGGATACTTTTTACCGCGAGAAAATATCTCATTTCTGAGAAAAAATAAGAAAACTGCAATGTAAGAGTAAACTAATATGTAGAACCTAAGAATTTAGTTTTTTGGTCATCTGAACACGGGCGGAGCCGCGGTCAATGCTAGTATATGATATAGTAACATAGTCAAATGAGTGTTGTCAATATGTTTAGTTGGCTTTGTTCTAGCAAAATCAACTTCAGCTAATTGACGATCACTTATTTACTGTAATCGCTTAATTATTAGCACTCACGCGCATATATCATGACTAAAATTGTTTTGCATACGAATATAGAATTGTAGGTTGTGGCGTGTGCATAAAATTACATAAAAGTACAATGAACGGTTTATGTATAACGTATCGTAATTTGCTTCATAATATTAGTAATAACATCGTTTTGTTGATATTTAATCGTTTTAAATAAAACTATCTTTTCGGATTTTTTCGCGGATTTATTTGGATTTTTGGTTCCCGACGTTTCGAGTGCTTTACAACAATCGTGGTCACGGGAGAGACCGAGGTGTTAGATGTCTCCAAGGTATAGTTGCTACAGACGGCTTACCCACAAATAACAAAATGAAAATTGTACCAATTACCTTACAATATTTTTTAACTTAAAACAGTTTTATAATTTTAATTAGTTTTTATAATTGAATATGGAATATTATTTACTGTAACGACAACGTGAAACGTTGGGAACCAAAAATCCAAATAAATCCGCGAAAAAATCCGAAAAGATAGTTTTATTTAAAATATCAAATATTCGCGTAAATCTAAGAAATATATTTAATTTTTACAACACCTTATATCCCACGGGAATCACTTGAAAAACCGGGATAGCCTAAATGCTGGTCTTTATTTTGTAAAGAGTCGGTCTCTTAACAAAAACAAAGTCTTTGTAGTGATTATAAAGTACCTTTGTTGTTTAAAGTGTCGGTGGTATTATTTATTTGTCTGTTTATAATGAAATAGAGTTAATAATTCCGCATCATTGAGAACGATGGAGATTTTTTAAGATAATAGAATAAAACTGAATTGAAATATGTTAGAACATTAACACACAGCACCATCTAGTTCCATGGTAAGCTACGAAGCCTGTGTTATGGATACCAGATAGTTGATACACTACACGTATATAACTTTAAATACATACATATTATGAATATAAACACCTATGACTGGAGTATAAACATTCGTGTTCATCACACAAATGAATGCCCCAGCGGGACTCAAACCCGCGACCGCTGGCGCAGCTACAACGGTCACTTCAAACTGAGCCAAACGTGTCGTCAAATAGTATAAAGTGAAAAGTTCGAATGAAATAATTCAAATAGAGTTAAATACCATTCATTACTAAACATCATGATAAAGCCTCAGCCAGCCAAGAACTAAAGAAAGAAATGCGACTAAAAATATTATTTACGCATTCTAATTTGCTATTAACATAAATATTATAATGACCTTTGAACACATAATTCGCCACAATTTGGCCTATCAGATTATCACTATCTCGTATCGCAACTATTGAATTTATATCGTAAATGTAGGTTATTTGTTATCGTAGGATGAGTGACGAAACAATTTTAGAGGCAAAGAAGATAGCTACTATAATTTCTCTTTGTCTAACATCCATCAAAAAATTACTAGATACACAATCCCATGCAAAAGTTGTCATAAAAATGTCACCAGTTGTGTTTAGGTAAGCTAAAATTTTTTCTTTCGTTTAATAAAAAAAAATTGTAACATATTTAGGTAAATTGCAAAAATAGTAGTAAATGATAATATACAATTTTTAAACTAAAATATATTACAGTCGTGCTAAATTTAGCCTACAACAAGTACACTTCAA